CGGCAACAACGACGACAACAACGACGACGACGGCAACAACGATAACAACAACAACAACGATGAGCGCGACGGGCAGCCGGAGCAGCATCCACAAGTCTTCAGGTGACCGCTCACAATCACGGCCATTACGGTCATCATTTCTGGACCCACCCGATTTGTGCGGTTGTCCACGAACGATGCAAAAGAAGTTCAACATACACCTGCATGGATATACATCAGCAAAACAAAACTGGCGTACAAGTTTGCGAAAACAACTGAATATCTTATCCTCCGAGTCGTTCCCCCGTCTTCCAGAGTGAGCGACTGCAGGGATTCATATTATTGGTTATTTCGGTAAAGCCACGTAGAAGGGAAATAATAAAATAAAATATTGTTTAAATAAAATATTGTCACATTTTTTATATTTTATTATTTCCCTTCTACGTGACTTTACCGAAAGAACCAAGAATACTTATTTAGCTCATTATAGTTGTTGAAAGGACGCAACTGGAAACACAGTGGAGATGCGTGCGCACATTTGGGAGCGAATGAAGGCGGACAGCGGATGAGAGCAGGTTGGAGCGATTTGAAAAACTTAACTCAATAAAGAAGAGCAATTAACCTAAATTAAGAGCGCTTGCAATCAACGCACATCACCTGCTGTTACGTGACGGACCTTGACGAAGAATATGAAATGCGTCAAGCGGTGTGGACGAGCGCACGCTCGGAATTACGTGGAGCAACAGGAAGAGGAATGCGTGGATTAGAGAGCGAGAGGCACCGTATTGACCATCAAGAGGAGTTAAGTTTGCTTGTGCAGCAACACCACGTCGCTTGGAGGGACGACGGCCGAGACTAACGGTTGAGCGACAAGCAGAGGGAACGTTTCCCGAGTGGCGCGACCTCAACGGTTCCTCAAATCGCCGGCGACACGGATCGCTCCGTGCCAAGCAGAGCCGGGAAGATCAGCCAATCGGGTCGCTTTGCCAAATAAAAAGCGTGGCAGCACACGTAGGAAACAAAGATGAGAACGGAGTTTTCTTTTGTTTTGTCTCAAAACACTTTTCCTGCCGTCCGATTCGTCAAGCGATCGAGCCGATAATCGGTCGCGTACTCGCTCACGTCAATCATTGCAGAGGCCGGCTCCACCACCAACTCCACACGGGCAGAGGAGGCGGGGGGGGGGTGAGAGAGCGTGGCCGACATTTGCGACGAGCGGGGCCCGGGTGCGGCCCTGCCTCGCCTGGCCCACGCAGTGTGCATAATAACTTGTGACTAATGTCATTTATTATTTAGCTGCCACGATATATTAAAGGCCAAAATAGGGGGAGCAATTGTTTCCCTCTCTGCCCTAACATATTTTGTCAGCGCACATCACAAGCGACATTACTCATAGTGTGCGTCACGTTCGTATCAAATTTCCTTTGGCTTTGTTTTCGCGAGTGCTGCGTCTCAGTCTTCAGACGCTGCAATTATACTCCGCGCCGAGCGCTACCGTTTTGTACCTTGCCCGAAAGAACTACAGCCCCCCTGCCCCCCCCTCTCTCCCCCGCAGTGCTGGCGCTCGCCTTTACCATCTGGGTGAGCGCTGGCAACCGCGCACTTGGCTTGCGGTGGCACGGCCCAGCGGTGGCGCGTATGCCGCTTGTTCAGAATCAGAATCTTTATTTAGACTGGAGGAATCCAATGAGCTCTGAAACTCTTTTTACAGATGTCCAGTAGGGGCACGGGGTCAGTTGCAGAGGATATCGCGGTTCGAGCCCAGGGACCACCCCGGTTATTACCGCGTACCGTGCAAAGCATGCGACTTGACGCCAAAGTTCCCCTGACCTTATTCGAAAGACGTGTGCCGTCGTCACGGTCAAAATGTGGCCAAGTATTAAAAAGCTGCTCGCAAATTGCTTTAACGGGGGATATCCGCGCGCTAACCTCGTCCCCTACCAGTGGCCTGTACCGGTGGCGCGAACACCAAATGTACGGAATTATTAACATCGTAAACCATTATTACGGCCTGCTGAGGACTGCCAACGCAGAGGAAGCCAGTCCTCATCTGCCAAGCTGTCGATACGCCTACTGGGAAATATCGATCGCGAAGACCTCGCGGATAAAATATTAACTTGTTCCTCCGTACGGCGAAAGCTCCATTTTTTTAAACACGTTTCCCCCTCTTTTATTAATGTATTCATGTAGATTTTTATTTTTTTATAGGCAGACCCAGGGTGCCCAGAGCACATACCCATACGTACGTCAAGAGCGGACAATGCAGTTTATTAAATTATTCATCTCTCCCCATGAAATTGACATCAGCTCTCGCTGCCGCTTTACGGCGCATGGGTCCGGCAAACCGTGACCGGATTGGAGTTCCAATCCATGTGGGGAATATGGCAAATCCACCACAGGATTCCTCGGGGGTCACATCAGACCCGTGCCTACAGACCTCCCCCCCCCCACCCCGAGTTCCAAGCCCTGCCGTGATGATGTCACCGTCAGCAAGGGATCGCCCTTGCCGGTCAATTGCATAGCTAATGTCATTTTTATTAATCTGGGACAGGTTTGCCGGGCCTCAAGGCTACTTGTATAGAGGGACATAAAAGTGTAATATTCAGCCAATTCATTTAAAATGTATGATGTGATTTATTAATCCTGGAGAGCCTTGCTGAAGACACTTTTTAAGGAGGGTCCTGCCAGATGTTCGCAGTGGGAGGCGGGCGATGTTATAAAATGAAATCCCAATTGCGTAATGAGCAGCTTGAGTCTTCAACATTGGAATGTTTGGCGAATACCAGTGACGTCGTTTTTCTTTCAGCCATGTGTCGTATTTACCCACGAAAGCCTAAGCAATCCTCAAGGCGCTTTTGCAGGTGGCTCTTGCATTGAGGTTTTGAGCCAATTTTATTTTACTGAGACTTCTAATTCACGTGGGAGGAAACTTAAGAACCCCGCAAACAGCCACACAAATGGTGAAATATGACCCAGAGCTCCACACACACTCAGCCCATCGCTGCATCGCTACCATTTGCCTGGCAACACCGCAGCAACAGTGCCACTTGGGAGTTGCACACGCCTCCACGCCAGATAGAAACCCTTGCCTCCAAAGCGCTGGATCGCCTGGCTGATACTGTAAAGGAGGTGCCCCCCCCCCCCACCTGCTCCCCCCTCTGCGTCGCTCCACCTTGCATGGGATGGGATGTCTCATTATCTTTCAGGGGGGGCAGGGGGGGATGGGGGGGGGGGGGATTTGGGTTGTACCACGTGTTTTTTTTCCGTTAGGATTACGCGTAACGACATTGCCCCACCCCCGACTGCGAAAACTTGGCTAGACCCTGCTGAAACAGTCTCGAGACTCGTGGGAGAGCAAGTGTAATAAACAATGATAACAATGCTTCAATATTTACATTACAAAACGGAATTGGCCGAACATCTTAATGCAGGACCCTCCTTAAAAAGATAGAGTCATCTTCCGGAAACTGAGCGCAGCAGCTCCCTGAAAGTCGAGGGAGAGAACGTGAGCTGCTCCATTTAGTTCCCTGAAAGAGGCCCCGGCACATGGTGCGAAACGTTGGACGTCGTGCCGAACAACAACAACAACGCAAAGCATCGGAGAGCCGTGCAGCAGCACAGCTGCGAAGACCGAGGTAGCATCAGTTTAACAACGTAGGCTTTCGTCGCATGGACGCCCCATTGCTTAACCGTCTTGCCCAAGCGTGCATTTTGGTGCTGACAAATTGGCAGGAATTTATTTACCTGTGCAATTTGTGCTTTAACACTTTATTTCTATTATTTTTATTTTAAGCAACTTTTCGCTTCCTTGCTCTTATATCGTTGTTTTTCTCGAGCATCGTTCATTGATGCAACTCGCTTGACCCCCCTGTGCCCCTACAGAACGTCTTCATAGCTCATCGGATTCCTCCCACAATCTTCATAAAGAGTCTCATTCTGAAGCGCGAGTTCGCCGCGAGGAAGGACGCTTTGGCTGGGATCTGGGGGGGGTAGGGGGTGAGGGGGAGGGTCGGCGGGCGGGCGGGCGGGCGGAGGAAGGTGCAGGGTGGGGGGGGGCCGGGGGGGGGGTCGGGATTCTCACCGAGCGACGACACAAGCGGGATCATCGCCCGCGAGGCAACGCCGTGGAGCCCGGGGATGTGTCGCGACTTGACACGGAGCGGCGGCGCAGTGAAGACACGCGCTGCCGTCGCTGCCGAACGCCTCTCACCGTTTAACGCCTCTCACTTTATCGGGCAGGTGACGGGCGCACGTTGGACCACATCTAGCTCTCTCGCAAAGGAAACCTAACGCCACATTAATTCGCAGCGGCACCCCCGCCCCCCCCCCCCGCGTCAATCCACTGCTGGATCACGGCGTCGCCGTGTCGTGCTGGTCGTAGGGGAGCTTGTTGTGCGTACTTCAACACGATGTTCGACGCGGGCTGGCGGTCAAAGATGAAAGCACGTGTTAAGGCTAAGTCGTCGTCATCATCAGACATTGGTCAATCCACTGCTGGATGAGGGCCTCCCAAAGCTGCCGCCACCTCTCAAAATCGGCGGACGTGCACTCGGACGCGCTCTACTCCTTGGCCACCACTCCGTTATTATTTTTGACCACGGGCCAATCGTCCCTTCGAGTGCCGCGTACTATCTAAAACATTTAATCGAGTTTTAATTGTCAATTTAAATTTGGTGGTGGCATTCAATGGCACCAGCGCAAAGCAGTAACCGCCTCCCCACCCATCCACCCACACTCTAGAGAATGACGTCGTAGGGTCTTCAAGGTCCACTTCACAAGCAGATGGCACGCTCCGGTAATTCGGCACACAAATTACCGCGCAGTAGCGGGAATTGATTAATAACCGTAATACTGACCGCAGAAACGAAGAACCAGCCAAACGTCGACATGGGGCCTCACAGGCAGGGCCAGCGAAACTGGCGTGCGGACGAAAGCCGGGGGGTGGAGGGGGGGTGTAGGGGGTGGGGGAGGCTGTGGGAGGGTGGTAGGAGAGGTGGGAGTGGTGGAGGGGGGGTTGTTACCGCAGGCAGGCACGGCTCTCCGCGCTGGCACAGGGCGAGGAGGCACAGCGCCAAGCGCACCAGCGCAAGGTGCAGCGACGCGGGCATCACCGGAGGCCCCTCGCCCAGGTGGTGGAGGAAATTCAGCAGGGCCTCGCTCACCTCCTGCTCACGCGCCAGCCTGAGAACGGCGGAAACACACGCACGGCAATTATTATTTTTTTTACAAAATATATATTTTTTACGAAACTAAATGATGGAACGTCTCGTTCCCAACGGTGGTGTCGGGGGAGAACGTAAAAAGTTTGAAACTTCAGGTGAGCGAGCGAACAAGCGAGCGAGTGAGCGAGGTCGTGCCGATGTTGACTGTGGCCAGCGTGAGATAATATTCCGTCCCTACAGAATGTCTCTATGATTTTATCCTCGAGATAGAAATTATATTTCGGCAATATGACTGCCCACTTCACCCCCAAGCCAAGGTCATTATACTACGATATAGGTGGGGTTAGGGTTACGAAAGAGGTAGGAGAGTGTGTAGAGTGGAGCAGAGTGAGATGAGAGGATGGTGGTGGGAGAGTGCGTGGAGGGGAGCAGAGGGAGATGAGAGGATGGCGGTGGGCAGAAGTGAGTCCGTGGAGGACCTTGAAACCCTCCCCCAAACTGCGACCCTGGATGAACCCTGCTGCCACGGGCTAGTGTGGGTGTTGGGCGAGAGTCACACACGGCCCGCGTGGATCTAGACACTTCCCAAGGTGGGCGGGGGGGGCTACATTAATAATGAACAATTCCAAAGATTATTTCTTGTAAATGTCTATAAAATACCAACTTTCGGGGGTCTCAGGATACGGACAATTGCTCCTATCCCCCCCCACCCCTGCCCCACAAGGTGGACCACGGTGGGGGGAGATGGAGTGGGTGGGGGTGGGGGTGGCAATACCGATCGGCGTATGCCAGCGCGGTGAAGAGGACGGCCATCGCGGCAAGCTGGGCCGGGCGTAGTGTCAGGTCGGCGCGCGGCTCCCGCAGGAGCAGCAGGCAGTCGCGGGGGGTGGGCGCCACGTCCAACAGTCCGTGGGCCAACGCGTCCACCACCTCCCCTCCGTCTGCGAAGACAACGATCCCCCGTATAGTCACATTGAGGGCGAGTCGACCGAGCAGAGGTCCAGCACCGGTTTAGATATTTTTCCACTGATGTTAGCCGTGACCGGGAATCGAACTCGGGGTGTCAGGCTCGTAGAGCAGTGCACTAACCGCTGCACTGCCACTCCCCAAACAAATAAAAGACAAAGATCCCCTGTATAGCCTTAGCAAACTGTTGGGGCAAGTGCTGTTAGCGGGAGCCTATGAAGGCCGGCACGACACACGAGGGGGTGGATGGCCAGCACCACGCCCGGCTGCCTTTATCTCCCCAGTGGCAATGTTTACACACCTGACCAGGTACTCATTTGAGGCTGAGTCGACCTAGGGGAGGCCCAGGACCGGTTCAGAAAATCGTCACGGATGTTGGCCGTGAGCGGGAATCGAACTCAGGTCGCCAGGTTTGCAGCGGAGCGCACTAACCGCTACACTACCACTCCCCATAATAGACACAGACACGGACACACACGCGGGCTCGGCAGTTGTAGACTCCATACAACGCGGTAGGCATTTAGGGAGCACTCAAAGGAGCTCGGGGAAGAGGAAGACCACGATCCGACCGGACATCAAACATCAACCGCTGGATGGCATGGAAGCCGCCTCAGTTGAAAGACGCAGCGACGGAAGACAAAATAAGCAGAGGCCATTGCCAATAGATGTCGGAGAAGGAAACAGACATGTCCTCAACGATCTAAAACGCCAAGGGAACGGAAGAAGGTCCATGTATGTATGTTGAACTTCTTTGCATCGTAAGTAGCCAAACGTGCTAATTGAAGGAAAATTGGCCTTAGTCCACCTCGACTGGTAGGTGAGTCAACGTTACACCGAACTTGACCTTTTTACCTTCTCATTGCGAGTCAAGTGCTCCAGCGTCTTTGCCGCCGAGCCGTACATTTCAACGGCTTTATCCGATTAAAATAACATTCCGAATTCAATTATCCAATTTATACAGATTTCCTTTTACAAATTGTGTTAATTAGCAGCGCTGCATTTGCAAATGCGTTCTCAAACCCACTTTCATTGTGAATAAACTATTCAAAGGCTATTAAAAATGCAACATCTGAGGAAGCGGGGTGGCTCAACAGAGAGGAAGGGGGGGGGAGTCAGAGGTGTTGAGCCGGCACCGCCTCGTGTCAATCAGTCGGCCTTCTGAAACGACTTCAACATCTTGTTCCGCGAATGGCCGTTGCCTGATACACTGCTCCCGGTAATCGTTCCAAATGGGAAATGCATTTATCTCAAGGTTTTGAAGCCATTGGGCATGAGCGCAACAACGCAACTGGCAGGATAAGTCTACAGAACAAAGATGCTAGAATGTTCCGAGAGAGCGGCCGTCCCGATACAAAACATTTCGGATTAATCAGTTTGTAAGCGTACGACGCTCTTGTCAATCCACTGCTGGATGACGCCCTCCCCACGCCGTGCGGGTCGTGGGTGGGGGAGGGGTGAGCGTTCTTTCTCTACTCTTGTCAGCGAGGGTTGGTGGAGGTGAGGGGGAAGCACAGACATTGGGAGGATAGAGGTTACAGTGCAACAGCGGAGTTTGTTACACTCTCCTCTTCTGCCCGCGATGTAACCCCACAGCCGACGGGAATGGAGGTCGCGGGTTCGATCCTGACGCCTGACGCCCGTAAATTTGGAGTTTGCGTGTCTCTCTCCCCGTGGTGGCGTGGATTTTTTTTTCTGGGTCCTCCGGTTTTTCCCTCCACATTTATGAACATGCATCTAGATTATTTTGATTATTTTGCTGCTATATATTTCCACGCGATAAATACATCATCGTTAAGACCACAAAGTGACACGCCGCTTCGTTGAGCTATCATTGGTGGCCAGTTCGCTTCTGAAAAAGGAGCTAATTGCTCTGTGCACTTCACCTGGTAAGATATACTTTTCACTCTCTACAGCGTTTTGTATTGTTTGTTGTTGTACCGTTCAGAGCTGCCCCTACTGGACAATATGGGAATAAAGCTTTATAGCTTATCGGATTCCTCCAGAATAAATATTCAGATTCTAATTCTGGCAACCTGCTTGTGCGTGGTGATCGTTCACGTCCAAGCGATATCCAGGCTCAACCCTGCTTAGCTTCCGGGGAGCGACAAGACCGCGTGGTTCGGCCGTGGGTGGCTCGTCATATTATTTACCGTCGATTGGGAAACGTTAACAATCACGCCACTCCGGGGGGTGGGGAACTGACACCGGCCACTCGTAGTAAAGCAAAACTAAAAATAATGTTTGCAAATCAACACGATATCCGCCAACGCTTGTCACAAAGTGACTCGATCGCCGGCGGCAAAGAGGCTGGGACGCCTCCGCTCGGGACGGGATTTCTCGCCGTGCGATGCGGGCAATGCGTGCGCGCACGTTCGCACGCGCACAGACGCTGCCGAGAAAAACCCTCCCTCCCTCTCTCCTCCTCCTCTCCCAGAGGATCAGCCCCGTGGCACGCGTCTGCTGCCCGCTCAAATTACGGGATGATTGGTGTTACTCGCGCTGAGCCTCGTCGTCATCGTAAAAAAAAACGCGCGCCGGGGGAATTCCCGTGGAATTTTAAAAAGCCCCGTCCGTCGTCGAACAGGCGCTTCTTGTCTTAATGGCCGCTTCCTACGAGTACAGGTTTTTGACAGTCGCACGCGCACTCCTTAAGCACGTCGCAGCTTCGGTGATTTGCCGTTCAACCGGCCCCGGTGCCTGACTTGTCACCGGCGAGCGCCGTCGCGCGTTTTAGCTGAAGACGTTAAATCGACCGGCGGAGGGCGTACGTACGGCTAAATTCAAATAAAATGCAGACTCGATGGTCATTATGGGGAGAACGTTACTCCCTCAGATGGCAGTGCGGAAGTTGAGGAACAGGGCTGCCACCTACAGGGCTGCCCTCTACTGCGTGGACAAGTCACTTGGGAGGGTTCTCAGATGTAGCTCTGTGACATCGGCTTCAGCGGGCCGCTCTCTCGAGCGCGCTGCTCCGCAGGAGATCCCAACAGACGCTGGGTCTCGCGACGTGCCACCCCGACGGCGCAGGGCGGCGCTTACCGGCCAGCGGTGCTTGCGGCGGTGGCGGCGGCAGCGTCGGTGGAGAGGCTTCGTTGGCCAGCAGGCCGAGGCTCATGCACGTCCGTAGCAGGAACCTGGAGCAGGCCTGGTTCAAGGCGTCGTCCCTGCGCAACGCCACATATGCACGCACACACGGTGGGTCGGGCGGTTGTCGCTGGATCGCCTGTGCGGCTGAGACAGGATGAGGCGCCCGCGGCAGTGCCAATTGCGCACTCCTCATCTCCGCGCGGTTTGCTCAGGAGCCGACGTGTAGAGGGATTGTTCGGTATTTATAGCGCGGACTCAATCAAAATCAGCCACAAACATCTGAATGCTGAGCAGTCCTGAATGGGCCTCGAGATTGTGCGAGGCTTTACTGGAGATGTGGATATAATTGCAATTTTTTTATTGGGTAATAAAAATGTTTATTACGGCACCAATTAAATGTTTCGACACGAGGAGGGGCCAAGAGAAGACTACATGCGGCTGATGACGACATCAGCGAAAATACATGCGGTAGAGAGCATGTGATGTTTGGGCCACTAAGCTCAATGGGAAACTCCCACAATCCCACGCAAGCTTGACTTGAGTGCGCTCAAACTAAAAACAAAATGCATGCAGGGCTCACCCTAAGCAGCACAGTGTTATGCTGCTGCTCGAACACCCCACTGGTGTGTACGATGATTCAACAGCACAGCCAAATTCGCCGTGTAATTTTTGCGTTACATTTTACTTTAAAGAAACAAGTCACGTCTGCTCCTCAAGACGCGACCCCTGACCCCGGGCCCGACCCTGCCAGCTGACAGGGACAGCTGATGTTTACCTTGGACCTCGGCAGAAGGCAGCCTTCACCTCCAGCGTGGCTCTGATGAACCCGCTGCTCGCTGCGGAGTACGACAGCACAGGAGGCGGCGATCAGCAGCGCGGACGCTCATGGAGGCGCCCGTTATCTCTGTGGTAATCCCCGCCGGGGCCCAAAGCCACTCGTGTCGGCTACATGCACGATCCGAAACAGCGCCGCCAGACTCCTCGCGCTCACCGTAAGAAAGCCAGAGCACGTTGCCCAACACTCACATCGCTCCACCGGCTCCAAATCCAATCCCCCCCCCATCAATTTCGAGATTGCATTCAGTCTTCAAGATCCTCCACGGACTCGCTCCTGCCAAACTCTCTTTTTTCATCTCACTCTGCTCCCCTCTGCACGCTCTCCGACCTCTCCCCACTCATCTCACTCTGCTCCCCTCTGCACGCTCTCTACCTCTCCCCACTCATCTCACTCTTTTCCCCTCCACACACTCTCCTACCTCTCCCCTCTCATCTCATTCTAGTCCCCTCCACGCACTCTCCTACCGCTCCCCTCTCATCTCACTCCACTCCCCTCCACATACTCTCTTACCACTCCCCTCTCATCTCACTCCGCTCCCCTCCACGCACTCTCCTACCTCTCCACTCTCATCTCACTCCGCTCCCCTCCACACACTCTGCTACCTCTCCCCTCTCATCTCACTCGACTCCCCTCCACACGCTCTCCTACCACTCCCCTCTGAGCTCACTCCGCTCCCCTCCACGCACTCTCCTACCTCTCCACTCTCATCTCACTCCGCTCCCCTCCACGCACTCTGCTACCTCTCCCCTCTCATCTCACTCGACTCCCCTCCACACGCTCTCCTACCACTCCCCTCTGAGCTCACTCTACTCCCCTCCACGCACTCTCCTACCTCTCCCCTCTCATCTCACTCTACTCCCCTCCACGCACTCTCCTACCTCTCCCCTCTCATCTCACTCTACTCCCCTCCACACACTCTCTTACCTCTCCCCTCTCATCTCACTCTACTCCCCTCCACACACTCTCCTATCACTCCCCTCTGAGCTCACTCTGCTCCCCCCCACACGCTCTCCTACCTCTCCTCTCATGAGTGGGAGGTCGCTCATTCCCCTTTGCTGCCCACCACAGTCTGGAACTCCCTTCCCCAGCCACACGTGCTGTAGACTCCCTGCCCCAGCCACACGTGCTGTAGACTCCCTGCCACAGCCACACGTGCTGTAGACTCCCTGCCCCAGCCACACGTGCTGTAGACTCCCTGCCCCCTGTTCAACGTCTTTATCTGCTCCTCGCTGCCTCTCTATAAAACACATACGCCCACCGTTCCAGTACCATGTTTCGAGATGCGGTCGCATTTGAACGACACATAAATCCACATTGTATGTGTTTTATTACGTCTGTGCAATTTGTATTCAGAGTCTAAAGAGCTCTGGAATAACACTCATCTCTGTTAACTCTTTGGCAGTCGTGAGCCAAATGAATTTTTGTCGCATATGTTATATAACGAAGAGGGGGAGGGGGGAAGGAGGTCATGATTGTGCATTAATTCTTTACATAAGAACAATTATATAATTCATTATAGATCTTATATAAGTATGTACATAAGAGTAAAAAGCCAAAAGATCGTGAGTGCCGGGGCATGGGTGGAACTCAGCTCCATAGGCAGCCCTGCACCAATGGGTGGAATTCCCCCTTCCCATAGGATCATGGGGATATTAATATTTTGATATGAAGATCTGATATGAATGTGAACCAGGCGCAGTGCCAGCAGTGATTGTGTGGAGGCTCACCACCCACTCACCACTCACCCGGTGGTGGGGGGCAAGTGGGGGGAGGGGGGGAGGTGCGGTGTGCGGGGGGGGGGAGGCTTGCGCGACAAACGCAGAGGCAGTGGCACTTAAGCCAGCCCCGACGTGGGGCGCGTGAAACTGCCGAGCGTTCACTTTCGTATCGAGATACATCGCGATGATAACACCACCCTGCTAAGCCGCTGCGCGACCAGGAGTCATGACAGCCGGGCGAGTCGAGACGCTACCCACGGGACGAGATGGGGGGGAGGGGGGGGTCGCTACGCAGGGAGGGCGCAGGCGCCACTCCACGCATCGATCCCCGAGTCATCCATTCTGTAGAATCACAGGCGCCGAGAGTCTGTGATTCTACTAGGCCCAAATGGCCAAAAATGCCAAGCGGTCAGCAACAAACGGTGCTACTCTGTGAAGGTTGTAATAAGTGAAAGTGAATACATTGCTCGTGGTTTTTAGCAAAGGTTGTGAAGAGTTTGGGGGGGGTGAGGAGGTGTAAAAGAAGACGGCGGGGAGGGAATTGCAGAGTGGCGCAGAGCGAGGGATGGAGGAGGGTTGTGACCTGCAGTAGCGCGTGTGGTGGCCTAAACGCAAAATGGCTCGTGGAAAACCACGCATACCACCAGAGCCTCACGCTGGCACAGGTCAGATATGCCAGTGGGAAAAAAGGGAATTTGGAGGAGAGAAGCACTCCCTTTCACGCACCGTGAAAGGGAGTGTGGGGTGCAATCTTGTGCACTTGAGTTAGAAAAATAAAATCTTATTTTCCCATAGGTGTGGATTTGTTGTGTGCTTAAATTGAAGACGGAATGCTGGGGGCATGTTCTTTTGCTTTAAAACTCAAATTTGGAAACCCTTGAGAATAATTTTGCTGTAATTTTGCATCGCTATCTTTCGCCTTCAGTTGAGTCGGGACGTAGCAAACACACTCTCCTGGTCACAGCCACCGGGCGCTCTTAAGTTGCTGCGAATTGTCTCACACCCTGCGCACGTCACGTTAAGTTACGCGGGGGGTGGTGGGGGGGTTAAGTAAGATTGCCGTGCTGTAATGGTCAGCAGCTCGTTCGGGTTGTCGATTTTAATCCATCTACGGGCGGCGCGACGGTTAACAACAATGGTGCAAATTTCTTAAAGAACCCATCCCACCCCGCCGCCCCCCCCCCCCGCTGCCTCTGTCCATCCAGCATTATAAGCGAGTACACCAGAGTTAGTCTGTGACCGGCAGGTCACGTGTGGGTAAAGTGTGGGAATCCCCACCTCTTCGAAGATGTGTGGCCAGCGTGGAAGAGCGGGCAAAATACCCTCTAGAGCAGTGGTTCCCACCCTGTGGTCTGCAGACCACTGCTGATCTGCAAGTCCATGGGAAGCTGTCTGCAGCACTGTTGCAGATGCTTTGGTTAAGAGGTATTTTAATGTTGGAAAAATATGTCATGGTTGCGTGGTGATCTGCTGTTGACAGTCCACGGGTCCATAGACATAAGGAACCACTGCTCCGGAGGAACTCTCCAAAGCTCCATCTAGTGGAGGCCCTTCCTGGAGCATCGGTGCGAGCTAGAAATTGCAGGGCTTTTTACACGGGACTGAGTAAAACCCGGGCGCGGCACCGGTCCTGAAATAGCGCGGGTGATTGGGGCGATGGAGGGGATGGCACGGGTGATTAGGGCGATGGAGGGGATGACACGGGTGACTGGGGCGATGGGGGGAATGGCACGGGTGACTGGGGCGATAGGGGGGATGGCACGGGTGGTTGGGGTGATGGGGGGATGGCACGGGTGGTTGGGGTGATGGGGGGATGGCACGGGTGATTGGGGCAATGGGGGGATGGCACGGGTGATTGGGGCGATGGAGGGGATGGCACGGGTGACTGGGGCGATGGGGGGGATGGCACGGGTGGTTGGGGTGATGGGGGTATGGCACGGGTGATTGGGGCGATGGGGGGATGGCACGGGTGATTGGGGCGATGGGGGTATGGCACGGGTGATTGGGACGATGGGGGGGATGGCACGGGTGATTGGGGCGATGGAGGGGATGGCACGCGTGATTGTGATGATGCGACAAAGGGGTGAGGGTGGCAGACGTACCCAGCTTGGCAGAGAAGTAGCGCATGGCAGAAGGACACAGCTGGTGTTGCTCATCGAGGCACGTGAACAGGGCGAGCGCCAGCGGCTTCGACGGACACGCGTCATACATCCTCTGTGCGTGAGCCAAGGGCACAGAGAAAAAAACATTTTTAGGCGTACATAAAATTATTAAATAAAGTAACATAAACCACCACCACTGCCCCCCACCCGGCCACGCACTCGCCCCCTCTGCGACGCGGTGCCAGGTCGCACGACGCTTGGCAACAACACCGGCCTGGCACGAGCCACGGAGACAAGCGGTACGGAACCGGAAGCCACTGCGGCACGAGCAAAGTGCTGCGTCGACGTGCGCTGCCTGCTGGCGTGCCCGCCAGTCCACCAGGTGTGTCCACTCACCCACCGGCATGCTCACAAGATCCCCCCCCCCTGCCCCCCCCCCCCACCCCCCCGAGTCCTCACTGGACCGCAGGGTTGCCCATTTTCCCACCGACGTGTCCGCTGGCGCACCGGCGTGTGCCCGATAGCCCACGAGCGTGCTCACCAGATCCCCCCCCGCCATGTTCACACTGGATCACTGGGTTGCACACTAGCCCACTGGCATGCTAACCAGCCATAGGGAGAGCCCACGAAACCCATCGACTATGCTCACTAACCCACACGTGTGTCCACTATCCCACTGCTGCGCTATTCAGACTACAAGCGGTGCTCACTAGTCCACCTACGTGCTCACCGACCCAACAGCATGCTCGCCCATGCACCAGGGACGCTCACTAGAGCACCACTGCTTATAATTACATTGCCAGCGGTCTCGCTACGCCATTAACCCAGCCAGCGCGGTCGTGAGATCGCGGGTGGGCGGTCGGGCGGGCTCTCACCCATAATGCCACGTAAACCCCAGGAGCCCAAGTTTAATGGGCTCCTGGGATTTTTCCCTGTTTAAGAAATAAACACCGCTGGATGACGCGAGTTCGGCAAGGGCCCATTGGTCCATTTTACTACGCGAGCAGCAACCTCCACGTGCCGGGTGATAAATGAAGCGATTACAAAGCTGATGTATGCCACGTCGGGATATTTTGACTTATTGACATATCCCGCCAAGTCGATATTTAGTTTGGGTGATATTTAAATCAAAAATATCGGGTTTTTAAATGTCCCCAGATATTATCCCCAAGTCACATGACCCTCTCTTGAGCCTGATGACGTGATAATTTATTTGATCACGTCCGTTACAATCTGGCCGTCATTATTTTTCATTAAGAATTTTTTTTTAAATCGTTATCTGTATTATCAGCGGCGTTTCAACGCATATATAACTATTACCGGGCCGTTATAAAGGTGACAATGTTTTTAATTCATTGCGCGCTTAAACTTCATATTAAACTGGGAAAATATATCGCCGGTATTAATAAGCCCTGGCATCAGCTCGTGTGAAGGCTCCAGATGTACTTTCGTTTCACAAGCACCGCGAGAAATGGCGACGGCTTGGAGATGCCTGCAGATAGCAGTAGATAGACCACGGCCGATGAAGACTAAACAACTACCACGCCAGCATGGCGACGTAGCATCATAACAAAGCGTTCCGCTGGATACTCCTTTCACCAAATCACCAGGAATGCGCCTGTGAAAGCTGGGAAGTCGAGAAGGGTTGAGCCTGGATAGCGAGTAAATGGGTGATCACACGCATTTCTAGGTTGTTATGGGCTGCTGTGGGCAGCCGAAGGGCAGTGATGGAAATTCCACTGTTTGCTGTGCTGTACTCGGCTAGCACGTCTATGCTCCCGATCTTCACCAACCCCCCCCACTAACCAGCGTGGTGCAGCACGGTGAGTAATTCACCGGCGAGCCCGCACGGCGTGGGGAGGGACCCTAATCCAGCAGCGGATGGGCAGCAGGGCCGTAACGTGAACGCGCACCGAAGCCTCGTGCCCCTTAATCGAGCACCGGAGCGCACACGAGCACACCGAGACACGCGCATGATACAATCGGACAATCCCACCAAGAAACGAGCACCGAGTCGTGATCGCTCTTAATGCTCCATTGTTGGCAAAAGGTGCGAGCTAAGCAGTCTTGGTTTCCCGCGGAGGCGGGGTTTTGGCAGGCGCGCAATTACATTCGGAGCCGCCATGGCCTGCACAGCATGGGGAGGCCCTCATCCAGCAGCGCACCGACAAAACGGCTGTGCACGTACGTGTACACGTGTGCATTACATTGGATGCAGCGTGCACACGCGCGCGCGCGGCTTAACGCGGGCGCGCGAGACGGACCGCATGCGTCGCGCATAAAAAGACAAAATGGCCCGGCGATCATAATGGGCGGCTTTTAAAGCCCGAGTGAATAATTCCTGCGCAAATTGGCCGAGCGCCGTCCGTCGTTATTATTGCTTCACGTGGATCGGCCTCTCGTCCATCACGGGCTGCGGCCCGCGACATCCATTCCGCGGGCCGCTCGAGCTCGTCGCAACGATGATGCCCGCTAGCCGCCCCGAGGGATTCATCATCGCAATCGTCCCGGCGTTCCACGGAAAGAAAAAAAAACGAGGTGGGGTGGATTTTATTCCAGCGGACGGAAAACGTACCGCCCGCCGGGGAATACGAAGATAATGCCTTGGAACTTTTTCCCCCCGCTATGCCAACCGTGCTATGGGCGTCACGTCGTGAGACGAAGATTTGATGAGGAACTCTCGCAGAGCGGTGCAAGCCTCCATGCTAAGAGAATGATCCACAGAAACGGATGCCACAGAGCTAACTCTGTGAGATGCCTTCAAGTGACCTCTGGTCCATACACGGTAGGGGGCACCACTTTTACCACCTGCCCTTGCTCAGGAGAGTAATGTTCGTAGCAAGACAGTTAAAAGCGATACTTTGAATTGGAAAATTGTGTGCCGAACTACAGGGTGCTTAAAAAATATTTTTTTAACACTTACATGGAACTATCGTTTTTAATGGAAAAATAACGGATAATACACTGTATGTTCATCGCTTCAAAAAGTCAAAGAGTCTCAATTTGTTCGCCATCGTTGTCAACACGTTGCCTGGAATCTCCTCCAGGTGATCTCCGGAGCCCGGAGGCAAATTTTTGAGTGGTATTGTTGCAAATTCTCGGAAGTGTTAAAACATTTTTTTGAAGCACCCTGTAAATATAATAGTTACAAATTATTTGAAGCTGCTGCATTGGTTGTGCTGCGCAAGCAGTGCCCTAAGTCAATGGCCCTGCTTTATAGCAAATTATTACGTGCTATGAGAATGGGCCATTGCCCAAAACGTCACCTCTTAAATATTATTTTTTATATTTTAAGGCCACGGTGGTATTGACGAACGTTTTGAGTTTTTTCCGCGCAGTCGCTGGTCACCAGGACAAGCAGCACCCGGTTTAACCACAGGCGGCTGAAACCAGGATTCGAGCCGAGGGTCTCAGGAAGTCGGCGGTGTGAGCTCGGCGCTCCGACAACGTCTGAGCCAGCCGGCCACCTCGCTGCCAGCTTCCTGGTCCTATTAACCATCTTCATCGTCACCTTCACCGTTATGTCTTCTTTCCCTCTTGCCTCCCCGCTTTGCATCCCCACTGCAATGCCTACCCTCCAAACGTTTCCCATAAGAAAACGTATCAATGCGCACCTCAAACACACCTGTCAAGCACCGTGAGATGCGGTGACACCAAGACACTTCCTTATAACCACGTTGTATTGTACAGAGCGTGTCCTCATATCCCAGGGTCTTCTTAATGATATTCTAAAGTGTTGGCTCTTGACCCGCAAAATAAACTCTCTCTCCCCCCCCCCACCACCGTCCAACTGCCACTCAACAGAAGGTGGGGGCCCCCTACCAGTGCCGTAGCTATTGAGTGTGCAGGTGGTGTGACTGCACCGAGGGGGCCCACAGGCTGAAGGGTTCCAGGCACCTGGGCTATGAGGAACGGGGTGGGGTTTAAAACTGTACAGGGGAGGGCCACGTTTTATTCCTCGCACCAGCGCCCGTGCCAACCGCACTATGTCACTGTGGACCATAGACTTGGAGAAGACCCATATACTCACACAGGACCCATAGACTAGCAAAGGACCGTCCCTGTACCATGGCGACGGGGATGCACGTGGAGTCGCAGCCGCCGACCAGCGCCCACTCCAGCTCCTTCGCGGAGCCGAGGTCTCCGCGCCCGCCCGGCGCCGCAAACCGGTTCTCCCGCAGCAGAGGCTCCGAGGAGCACTTCACCACCAGCCTGCGGGGATTGGGGGTCACGAGGGGTCACAGAGACACTGGGCCACTACGTACAAGGGCAGCCCCACGGATGAACGAGAGATGCATCCGAGCCAAGTGGAATCTGCCCATGGAGCAGTGATTGGTGCTTTCTAGCCAGCCGCGGCCCACCATCACACACAGCCTTCTCCTTGGGCATGGTAAGAATCCCCCAAAATTCTGGCTCGAGCGCTACGGGGAATTGGGGGCTGATTTTGGCGAACAACAATTTCCCAAATAAGCACCAGCTCATTTGTATTATTATGATTATTAATCAGTATATGTTTTTTCCACGTTAATATACTTAAGGGGTTTTAATACAGTTGGCCACTGGCTCATGTACAGAGCATGGTTGGCTACGCACGGCACGAAAGAAGTTCAACATACATACATCATGAAGTAGCGGCATGTGACGTGCAGACTTTATTTATAGTGGCAATGCCACAACGATGGTGGTGTTGGTGGGGTAGGGGGAACGGATGTGTAAGGTGGGGTGGTATTGCTTTCTAAAGTGTCGCGACACAAGCCACAGATGAACGAGGGTGTAAAAAAAAATGACTCGTGCAGAGGAGCATGGGTCGGTGCGGCATGTGTGCAAAAACTCGGAGAGATGAGTCACAGACACGCGCAGCGGCAGCGCAGCCCCGAGACGTCTGTCGCCTCTCGCCGCTGAGAAACACTCGCAGACTCAAGCGGCACCGATCGCCGCAGGGATCGCTGGCAGCTTACAGCGAAGCCACGGTCCCCCTTGTCGATTCACTCACGTTCGGATTCCCCCCTCCCCCCCCGCCCCATTAAGTGAACCCCTTTCCCCTCCCTCTCCTCTTCCTTTCCTTCAACAATCTCCTTCTACCCCTGCCCACATATATTTCCTGTCCTTTTCCGAGATCACCGCTGAGGAATTATAAAGACGAGGGCTGACAACAGACGCAGCACCGCCAGCTCGTCTAAATAGACGGCGGGAGCACTGCTCGTAATCTATCGACCCGGCGGCCTCCCGGAAGCGAGCGGAGAGGACGGTGCCACAAAATCGGATGGACTGTGCCCCACAAAACGACTCCAGGGGGAGCGTCCAGAGTCATCCGTCATCCAGCAGCGGACTGAAAATGATTGTCAGCGGGTAGCGGCGGCAGCAGCAGCGGTGGCGGTGTGTACACCGCGTAATTCGCACGCCGGCGCCGAGCTGAGATTTCAATTCCGTTTTAATTCACGTAATTAAGCAACCCCTTGTTTTATTCCCGCTGGATGCGGCCGACGCAGCTAATTGAACAAATGACTGAGATCAGGCATCAGGACAAAAGCAGCACTTAAAAAATAAAAGCCCTGCAATTATGAAACATTAAATGGGAATTTTTTTTTTTGCTTGCTATGCCGCACGTCTGAATTTTTTGGTCGCGCTCCTAATTTGGAGGGAGGGTTTTTTTTAGGCCAGAGAGCGCGGGGGCCCTGACTTATGCCGATGCCGTGGACAGGCCCAAGTGGCGCAGGAAGAGCGGCGGCTATCCGGCCATCTGGGTACGAGCATGCCAAAATCTAACCGCGGAGCAAAGCCAACAAACAACGATGGGGGTTTAGAGGAAAGGGCGCTATAGCAGATAAGCAAATAAAATTCAAATGTATAATCGGGCAAGATTAGAAAAAATATATATACGTACATACAGTGGCCGCATGAGACATAAACTAACCCGGCTAAAGCTTAGGGAACCAAAGTAGCTGAAGGGGCCCGCGGATTCAAACATAAAATAGGAGGGCATCAATTATGAACCCAAATTGAAATCCTAATAAATGTCACAAGCTAATTAAAATGGATGCCAATTAATCTACCTCACCCGCGCCGTGTCTGCATCTCCCTTTTCTCATCTCTCTACATCTTTATCTCTTGTGTCTAAATCCCTTATGTCACTTCATCTCTCTCTCTTACCTACATAACCCTTCTGTCATCTCACTAAAATTTTATGAATTGAAAGAGCGGGGGAAGGGGCTCCCAAAAAATGTTTCTGTTTAAGGCCCCTCAAATGAATGAGCACTGCCACTGCATATACGGTATATAAGAATGCCGCCGTGGTGTTATGGTGGGCACAGTTAACTTGCAATACAAAGGTTGACGGGTCGATTCGATCCTCGGCACGATAATTTGTCCACCCAGCATGAATGCCTACACCAGCCAGTCAATCGACAGGCCACGTGCGATGGGGTAAAATGTGGGTACGCCCATCTCTTCCAACGAGGCTGGTCGACGTGGAAGAGTAGGCCAAGTACCCGTAAGCCCCTAGTGTCCGCTCGAGTGGAGGCCCCTTCCGCCGGCAATGTACTGGGCGAGCAATAGCAGGGCTGCACCTATACTTGTTTATAACTGTTGAGGGACAGAGAGAACTAGGGAGAGTTGTTATCTAACGGTGCTGTGATGAGCAGAGAGAGGCGCGAGCGCGGATCGTAGCGGTCGTGGCGGCGTTGACAAGAATTAAATCACGGCAGCGGCGGCGCTGGCGGCAACAGAGGGCGTGGGCGGTGCTGGCGCCAGGCCAAGGGGAGCGCCGGGGGGTCGACTTGGAGGCCGTCCCAATTGGCCGCGGAGAGACGTCCCATCCCCCCCGGGGGGCCGCGCCGAGGGCCCGCCGGCATGGCGCTGATGGATTCGGCCGCCACACGGCTTCGCCAACTGCTCTCTCTCTCTCGCCGGCGCGTGCGAATGTGCGCGTATGTGTTGTGCGGGAGCGGTAGGGTAGCGGTTAAGTGCGCTGCTCTACGAACCCGGCGACCCACGTTCGATTCCCGCTCACGGCCAACACCAGTGACGATCCGGTCCTTGGCCTACCCTAGGTCGACTCAGCCTCAAATGAGTACCTGGTGAAATGTGTAAACATCGTCACTGGGGAAACAAAGGCGGCTGGGCATCGTGCTCGCCACCCACCCCCTCATGCGTCGTGCCAGCCGTCATAGGTTCACACTTACACCACCTGCCCCAACAGTCTGTTAAGGCTATACGGGGGATCTTTGTCTTTGTACGTGGGAGTGCGTGTGTGCGTGCGGCTGCATGAGCGTGTGTGTGGAAGTGCGCGTGTGCGTGAGTTTGGTGTGCATGAGTGTCCACAGGCGCTTTTATGCATTTGCGCGGGTGTGTGCGCGCGTGTGTACATCCGTGCAACTTCCACACACACACGCGCGTGTGCGCACGCCACCGTCTACTCCATGGCCGATTGTCTAAAAGCGTCGCGGGAGGCAGGAGACTTGGTCAGCGTTGCGGTAAAACGCTCGCCGTTGCCAATTTCGGTCGCCTCTCAAGAGGCCGGGGAAATTAAAAACAAAGCAGAAAAGCAAACGAAGAAGTAAGAAATAAAAACCCCTCCCTTATGATTGCCACAGTTTGGTATGCCAGACCCGGGACATGCGCACTGCAAATCAAAATAAATTAGTTGGGTTGGGGTGGGGTGGAGCAATGGGGAAACTATTAGGGGGGTGCAGTTGGAGGGATGAGCGAGTGACCGTGATTGACAGCCCAAAGACCAAGAGGCTGACAATAACCCGGACAAGCAATTGGCCATAGCCCCAATTGTGACACCGCCACTGCGCTGTCTGCATCGCTACCGAAGCAACAAAGCTCACCGAGTGTATTCAAAATGAAATATTGCAGCCATTCTCAATCCACCAATGGATGAAGGCCTCCCCACGCCGCATCGGCCGCGGAGGATTTTGGAGCACACCCTGATCACACTCGTCAGCGATGATGACGATGGCAGGCGAAAGAAAGACCGGTCCTGATATCCCTCGCCGCTCACCTTATAACAGTGGCCGAGAATCGGACTCTGGTCGCCGGGTTCATTGCATGGCGCGCCAGCCGCTGAGCCACCGCTCCGCCCCCCCAACTACCGGACCGTCCAGACAAAACCCGGACCCGGCGGCGAGGCTACGCTCGCTGCCGCTCCGTTCTTACGAGGGACGTGTCGTGCGAGAGAAGCAGTGGTGCATCACAAGGTCACGTGTCCCGCTCGTTACCTGCATGCGCTGCAGAAGGCCTGCAGCCCTTGGATAATGCACAGCTCCGGTACGGACAGCTTTGTCTCGCCCTCGGAGCGCTGAACGGGTGGGAAACAAAACAGACAGACGGACAGCACATTGAGGATACTTTTTGTTTGCACACAAAGCAGGAGACACCCAAGAATGGTGCAGTTCTCGCAAGACAGACGTTAGCTGTTGATCACAAGGTCACTGCTGCCTCTGCCTAATGGCTCCCCCGCGCTACGGGGACTCCCGCCTCTCCCAATACGTGTGGCCAATGTGGAAGAGAAGGCCAAAATATCCTCCGAGAGGGGCTCTCCTGAGCAGAGGCTCTTTTGCAGGCAGTGGCGCCAGCAGGCAATTGCGGGGCTGAACTTTTGCCTTTTACCGCTTTTAATAAAACTGTTGCCGGGGAGTGTGACCGTGGGGACGTGGGTGCCCGTGTTGTTACCCGAGGCCCATTCAGTGCACCGCGTGAGCCTTGTGGCTCACCATTACTTCCAGCCCCAGACCACGCCGGGGTAATTTAGCGGCTTGTCGCGTGCGCCGTGGGAATCAATATAGTGGCGGAAAACAAAAAAAAATTGTATATATATATAAACACCAACACAAGAGCCCCCTCTCGCTTGAGTTTCACCTTTTATTGACGCCTTTGGTTTTTCCAGAAAAGCCTCGCCGAGTCTCAAGAGTCCTCTTCAAGAGGGTCCTGGCTGCATTGCGATGCTGTTCAACCAATTTCATCTCATCGAGTGTTTTGGTGTCGTGTGGGAGGAAACCCGAGCACCCAGATAAAAGATCCAGTCATGCATATCACGGGGATTGACGCTCTAAAACTGCAAACAGATAGATTCAAAGTGGAAATTTGTATAGTTTATCTGTATGATTGGTTTTGAAAATGGGTTTGCGGTCAACGGGAGTTTTAAAAACGGCACGCTGGCATGCACGCTTTTTGTGTCTTTCACAAATCTCGATGCCAGAGGACGCCACCTCCCCGTGGACCCCCCCACCAAAAAAACAAGATCGCAGCACCACACTAATCATTCACAAGTAACGCTAAATTAAGGCGTCGGTGTGATGCGTACCATGCTGTGTGCGGCGGACATGCGGTGGCTCAAAGGAGGAGAGATCTCCCGCAGCATCTGCAGGAGGGCATTCATCAGCTCCTTCAGCTCCGTGTAGGGCACTGGTGCCACCAAGTGGCAGCTCCTGACCGCAGACAGCCCGACGCATGGAAAACGAGCGGCACAGGCAAACTTTACAACTGAGCAGTGACGCACAAGGAGAAAATATTAATTCGCCCCTAGACAGTGGTGAATTGGTAGTGCGCTGCACGATATTAAATCTGAAAACCTAAGTTCGATTTACGGCCATGGTTCACGGCGGTGCCGAGCAATATCTAAAACGGTGTTGGGCAACCTTCTCCTTCACCAGCCCCCACTGACCAGCGTGGTGAAGTATAATAATAAAAAACATGACTGACACGGGCGGAGGCTTTTTATCCAGCAGTACATTGACAAATAACCGTATATTATGCATCATCATCACCGGGCATGACCGATCCACTGCTGGAGGAAGGTCACCCCAAGCCACCGCTCTCTCTCACGTTGCTGCGATGTGAAAGAATCCACAAGCACACGGCGTGATTTCGTTGCTCCATCTCCCTGGCGGGTATTTATGGAAAATCTCAGAAATGGTCTGTGATATGCAAGGCCTGTCTACAAGTGAAGTTGTGATGGGTGCAACTACCCCTCCCTCTTCCCACCTCGACCCCCAGACCCCGGGTGAGCCTCGGCAACCAACGCCGCACGGCATCACAATCTAACGTTCTCACAAAGCGGTTTAATTTTTAATTCGCTTTCTTCCCTTAACGTTAGTTTAATTAAGTAGGCCTAATGGCCCGCGAACCGTTTAAAATGTCACAGCGCCGACGCTGAAACGCCCTGCCGAAGCTAAACAAAAATCACACCACCTCGGGGAAGGTCCCGAAAAATCTCGCGACCTCCGGCGTCGCCGCCCGGCGAGAGGGAATAACGGGCGAACCGCCGCTGTGTTCCGTTCCCGCCAGCGATCGCGGTCGTGCTCACGCAGACTGCCGCCGGAGGATCCCGAGAAGGACAACCATCGCGGCAGCCACGTGACCGTCCTCTACGATCCAGCGTCCCGGGGCGACGGGCACCTCCAGGGGTCAGCGTCAATATCGACAAGGGAGCACTGGGTTTTTTTGGTTTACTGGTTTTAAATTTTAAGTGCACGCTAATTTGTTTTCACTTTCAACGAATTCACCGGAATGTTATTCCAATTGCGCAATCGGACTAATGTGCTTTTGCCCAGCGTCCGTCCGGAATTGGAGGCAGAACATCACCATCTTTGTTCGAGATTTATCTTCACAGAGAGATATCTTCATTGAAGAGAGATATCTTCATATCTTCTTCATAGAAGATATCTCTCTTCACAGAAGATATCAAATAACTAATTCTGAGTACCCTTCTAGTGATCAATTTTAGCTATTGGCCTCAGGGGCGCTGTATTTTCCGACGCACACTAAACCGAGGGGACTGCTCGTCGTGTGGCAGTCAAGCTGTGATTTAAGTTTTCGATTCTCAAAGCTGGAATTTTTGCGACGCTTAATGAAAATAAAACGCCTTATTTTGTGTGTCCATTCGTGGTCGGGATGAGACCATCAACTTTGAGAACATAATTTATTCACGGACACCTGGATTCGAACCCAGCGTCTCAGTGGTGTCGGCCCGCTCGACTGACCACTCAACTACCAACACAACACGCCTGTGTTGTTACTACCAATGCATGCGTGTCGCCTAAAAGAGAGGAACGGCGTCAAAGCTGCTTTAGCGTGAGCTGGCCATGTGGCTTAGGGGGCTGATGCAACGTCAGAGCACTGAGGCGGCACCGCTGTGATCCTAAGTTCAGATCTGGGTAACCACCCGTGATTAAACCGGCTTCTCAAGGGTAGCGAGCCGATGTTCTTGGTGCAGTCACCAACGACTGAACCAAACAATACGCTTTCGCTTTGATTGACGGGCGACGAACACCTGGACATCCGAGCGCGTGAGAAGGCGCCGCACCACCTGGTGTGGGGTATACAGGTGATTGAAGCGACCTCAGAAGTACTATTCGTGATGTCACCTTCCACGGGGCCTGTCCTAACGTGGGGGTGGTGTCGTACACCGAGTTCGGAAACGTAGCTCACGACAACATGCCGCCTATGCGCAAATTACAACAATTGGCAGACTAATGCCCCAGGTGAAGTCTCAATTGCTTTGCTTTGCAAATTAGACTTATCCTGGTCTCTGGAGTTATCGCATGGTTAAACAACAAACTTAAAACTATAATTCGGAAAATACTAAAAATAGTCAAATTCCAGGTATTTAAGAGAACACAAGCGAAGGATAGAGAAGCAGCCAAGGTAAGAGACACGCGCAAGCGGGCAACCGCTGCACACACACGGAGCAGTGAAATCATCTTGTACGCAGGTGGTGAGAAGATTGCCTCCATTAAGGCTGATGTCGATTACTGTGGCTGTGTTGTGGTTGTAATGATGCCGTGTGTGTGTAATGCTGCTGTAATCGCAGGTGTTGTGCGGTCAAGGGCAAGGGCTTGCTTTGGGTAAAGGGTTGGGGAAACGTGCCCAAGAGTACGTCGAACGTGGAGACGGGAGCGTTGAAATCAGGTCAGGTGGCGCCGTGAGACCATGACTGACGGTGATGGCTCGGTGCGGGCATTCATCCAGCAGTGGATACATCACAGCTGATCACGACGACGCGCGACAGCTCTCAGGGATTGCGACATTCGCAGTAATAGCGAGAGAAGTCGGTGGAGGATTCGGGGGACGGGGGGGAGGGGCGGAAGTCCTTTATCCAGCAGCTGATCGATCCACCGCTGGACAAAGGCCTCCCCGACGAACGATGACGACACTGACCTGAGGAAGGAGGTGAGGGCGCAGGCGGCCACGGAGCACACGTCCCTGTCGGCGGCCGTGATGCCGTCGCGTACCACCGACAGGCACAGGCAGTACGTGCTCCAGCTCGGGAAGATCTTGATGCTCGCCGGCTGCCTCTGCAGCATCTCGGCGAGAAGGGAGAAGCCCTGCTTCTGGGCCTCCACGTTCACGAGCTTGAGCAGGAACTGCAGGCTCCGCAGGACGGGTTCGATCCCTGCTCCGCAGGGGGGGGGGGAGTTGGTGGGGGTGGCGGGGGGCACACGTCGCAAGCGCGGCCGGCACGGTGTCACTCCATGACCGGATGCCAGATTTTCCAAACTAATTCGTAACCGACGATGCCCCTCCACCCACCCCCGCCCACACTGGATGTTTGTGAGTTTTTTTCATTTATCCCATAATTCCTGCGGCAAACGAGCATCGAGACGGTGCTCGTCTCCTGTTCCCAGTCCTGAGCTTGTGGTGGAAAACGCTGCATTTACATGGCAGGGCCGAGTGTTTGCGTACGACAACCACTGCTTACTTCCCCACAAAGTAGTATGCGTGGCCTGAATCGAAAAGGGTGAGACCAAATGACCCGGAATGTGCCGCATCAGATCTCACCTCAAAAGCTTAGCTGATGGCACCTGGATAGCGCATGGATGGGTGACCGCCGTGTATAACAGACATCATAGGCTGCAGGCCTACGTGGCCGGCAGTAGAAAGCAGTGCTGAAAATTCCATTGTTTGAATGTACTATACTCCTGCACATAGAATATGGACAAAGAACCCCCACGACCCACTTGCTGTGGAAAGGCCCTCATACAGGAGCAGAACGATTGACACACCTCCATCTGAGCAACATCTTCGCCATCTGACCTTTTTTTATTGAACACGCACGCCTTTCCCAGACATCACTATGAGCTGCCTCTGAATTCCAAATCGGTCTTACACAGGACACGGGGCTCAAGCTTCAAGTGTATATTGTTTAACCAATGAGAACTCAGGAGGCCAGGGTAGCGTCTCCTTTGCCAGAGTGACCTGGGGCATTAGTCTGCCGGTAGGGGGTGAAGATTGCTTCACCAGGTGAGAACTCAGGAGACCAGGATAGTCTAATTTGCAAAAATATCCAGGGGCATTACTTTGCCAGTAAGAGGCAACGATTGCTAAGTAAAATCCCAATTAAGTAATGTTCAGTGTAATTTTTTTAATTCGGCTAAACGTGGACCCCAACCACGGAACACGATGGCCTGCTCCTGCAGATGACTTCGGAGGATCTTCATCGTCCACTCTGAAGTAGGCGGGCCATGTAGTATTATTACTACTACTACTCCGCTCATTACGGTTATTACACCCGCAGTATTAGTGAGGGCGGCCGCTCGATTCGAACCGTTAACCTCTGAAACAAGCAGCGAACGCGCTGCTGGTGGGTCACGTGACCACCCAATTGCCGAGATGTGGGGGGGAATGGGGGGGGGGGGTTGTGACAAGGGGGGGGGGAGGAGGTGATTGTTTTACCGTAGGCGCTCTGGCACTTGGAGTAGAAGAGCTCGTGCTGGATGAAGTGAGTGAGGCAGCAGTAGATGGACCACACGAGCAGCTCGTTTGTGGACGACAGCGCCTCGAATAGGAACTCTGTGGCAAGAGGGAGCCAAACAGGGCGGGGAGGTGTGAGGGGGGGGGGTGTCATTGTTTGAATTACGATCCATGGGCCGAGCAATGGTGGGCTAAGCTGCACGTAGTTTGTAATCCACCACTGTGGAGGCAGTGAGGGTTGGTGATCCATCGCACACACATTGTGAAACTCCCTTCCCGTGGGCACAGAACTGGTGCCGTAACCCGGCTTTCCAGGAGTATACGGTACAGCGAACACGTGGACTCCACCCATTTTGTCTGTATGGCATAGAGTGTTGCCCCCTCGCACGCATCAAATTTCGCCGGGTGCTCCGGTTTCCTCCCTTATGTCAACACTAAGCTTGGGCAACTGTTGGCGACAGGTCGTCTGGGGTTCCTCGCATTTCCGCATCGTTCTCTTTCTTCGAGAGCAAGCGAATACTTCCGCGGCGGCGGTGGCCGTGTTACAAGCTGCAATTAATTTCAATTGATATTTTTTTGTTTCCCAACTTGCTGTGAAAGGGAAGGAGTGGGAACGGAGCTGGCTGGGCATTCGGGGGTCAAGAAACAAACCGCGCCAAGGATCGACCGGTGGAACGAAAACCTGCACGGGCCTGGGTGAGATTTCTCGAGGCGTGTGTCGAAACGGTGGCACGGCCTGTGAATGGGGTGGTGGGGGTCTCTCTCCTGCCTGACCTGGCAGGTCCGCGTGCAGGAACGTGGCGACGCACGACTCGGGCCGCTGGGCGAGCACGCAGCACATGCACTGCACGCTCGCCACGCGAAGGGTGTCCTCCCCGGAGTGCAGCAGCTGCACGCACGCACGCGCGCACGCACGCGTACTCGTGAATTCACAAGATGCGTACACACGTATGCGCGGGTGTGCGTGCGTTTACGTGGTGCGTCTGTGTGTGTGCGCCGCATGCAAGCAATGCATGCGTTTTCGCGTATTTACAAATTAGAATCGGAATATTTATTTGTACTGGAGGAATCCCATGAGCTATAAAGCTCTTTTTCACAGATCTCCAGTCTATGAATGCACGCATGTTTGCACAGAGATACACAATGTTACGCAAACAGCCACGCACACGTAAACACACACACAACAAAAACAAAGATCCCCTATATAGTCTTCATACACTCTGGGGGAAAGTGTTGTTAGCGAGCACCTCTTCAGGCAGGAATGAAAGGGTGGTGTGACCAGCACCGCGCTTGACCGCCTTTATCTCCCCCAGAGCTGGCGTTTACACACCGCACTGGGTACTCACTTTAAGGCCGAGTCGACCTAGGCAAGGCATAGGCCCAGTTCAGATATTCGCCACCAACAATCGAACCCACGTCGCCAGGTTCGTCGCGCACTGCGCTAACTACCGTGCCGCCACTCTCCACCCATATGCACACAGAGGTGCGGACGTACGCTCTCGTGCGTTGACACAAGACGCACCGCCTGGACACGCCAGGCACAATTCATAAACTTCTCCCCTAAGAGTTCCAAATAACCATTCACTCATCCGCTGATATATATTGTCTCTAAAACCTTACTTGTTGTGAATAGCGCTTCCCACTTACTTTTTTGAGAATGAGCGGCAGAGAAGCTTCGTCTGCGAATCCAAAGGCAAGCAAAACCTCGTCAGCAAACCGTTGGGCGCAACTTAATGCACGCACGAGACATACGCCGTCACGTGGGACGCGCAATCAGAAGAACGCGCGCGTGCAAGAGAGCGCGTGCGTTACGAGAATGCAGATAACGGTAGGCAGGCTCTGGCAGGACACGTCGCTGACAGGGACAAAGGCCGGTGGTCAAGACGAATGAGAGAGTGGCAGCCAAAAGCAGGGAACACGCCCGCGGAGATGGGGCGACGAGATCGGCTTGCGTCCAGGAGCCAGAGAGGGTTTTTGTTGACGTTGACATCACGGGACGGTGGCAGACAGGACAGAGATGGCTCGGGGAGTCCTTCATCAAGCAGTGGATAGATCATGGCACAAAAAAACAAAACATTAACAACAGTTCGGGCACCGTTAGCGGCGTGCGTGAGCGATGGTTCCCTGGCCAGGTCCGGCAGCGGTCGCATCAGCTCGGACACCAATGGCGCGACGCGAAGGAGTTGCCTGAGCAGACCTGCACGGCACGGGCAGGGTAGGAGGGGTCAAAGGAGCGCATGCTCTCACACGCGTGCGCACGCACATTCTCACGTGCGCAGATCAACACACGCACTCTCACGTGCGCACACGAACACAAACAACTCTCACGCGCGCACATGAACACACACACTTTCGCGTGTGCGCGCACACACGTACACATGCACACTCGCCACCGATGTTAGCCGTGGCCGGAGTTCGTAGTGTAGTGTTATAACTGCGCCACCGATCCCCTACATCCATAGGCACGCATACATATACACAAAACAACTTATGATTCCCTGATAATAACCATACAGACACACATTCGCACACACGCACACACTCTCACACACACGGACAAACTCTCGCACACACACACGCACACACTCTTAAACACACGCACACACTCTCACACACGGACACTCTTGCACGCACGGACACACTGTTACATACATGGACACACTCTCGCACACACACACGCACACACTCTCACACACACGGATACACTCTCATACGCACGGACACGCTCTCGCATGCACACACGCAAGCGAGTCTTGCGTGCACGGGCTGGCACAGACGCCCACTCCCCACGTGGAGGTCACCATTCCTCCTGTCTGCCCTCGGGTCATCAATCTGTTATTCACAGTGGCAATTCCCATCACGTGTGCAAAACAAAAACACTCGCGCACTGACTTTAAAAAACTAAAATTAACTTCGCAGCATCGAAACAAACTTACTATGTGTACGATACTGTCGATGGAGGGGCGGCGCAGCGGTTAGCTCACCGCGTTATGAACCCAGCGACCCGAGTTCGATTCCAGCGGAACAAGCGGCATCTCAAAACCGTATAGCACCTCTTCCTTTCTAGATAATAACTGCATACGGTGGCCTTTCCATGCCACATCCATCATGGGAGTTGTTTGACCATACTTCACCACGCTGGTCAGTGCGTGTTTGTGGAGGCGGGGGTGGGGGGGCTCAGATATGACTGGATACTGATGGTGACCAGGTTCATAGCGAATGCAAATTCACATAGGTTGGCATTGGATCTGCAAGGGCAGAAAATAAGCAACTCTCACAAGCCAGTCTTCAACGCATGCGCCATGACATCGAGAGAAGATTTTAATCATCACATTCCTCGTCATAATTGTGGTGATGTGCAAACGAAATAAGTGGTTAAAGTAAATGTTTATTTAAATTTTTAGCACTCGTGACCCTGAAGACAATGAATCAAATCAAATCACTGCTGGAGGAAGGGGTAGATGGATACAAGCCTCATGATCACCATGACCTTTCAGTGCAACGATGATCGTCATCATCACCAACGACATCATCACCATCTATATCATAATCCACTCCTCCACCACATCATCGCCGTCACCATCCCTCACATCATCACCACTACCACCGTCATCGCCACCCACCGAGGGCGTTGAACTGCAGCTCCGTTCCCGGCGCACCGCCCAGCGTGGCGAGCGTGGCGGCGCACATCGTGCGGAGGAGGCGCGCGGGAAACCGCTCCTCCAACGTCACGCCGCCTGTGCCGCCACCGCACGCGCCGCGGCACGCGTAGAATGCCGCCACCTGCACCGCCTCGTCCGGGTAGCGCAACAGAGCCACCAGCTGCTCCAGCAGAGGCGCTGCACCCAACGGTGAAAGGGAACGCGAGAAAATGGCAAAGGCCCTCGGTACGACAGCGGTCGACGTCGTTGTTGGCGACCGGTCGAGTGGAGAGCAAAGGATATTTCAGACTGCAGCGCTTTCATGCAATTTGATACTCACACACTTGAATTATCTTTATTTATATTTCTTGACTTTCTTAGCTTTCTTGATTTGAAGCTTCCGTGACTGCAGGAATCCATACTATTTGGTTCTTTCGGTAAAGTCACGTAGGTATAAAAAAATATATATATAAATCACGACGTTTCGATCGCAACACAAGCGGTCGTCCTCAGGCAGAAAAAATATATAATCCAGCAGTGGAACGGCTGAACTAGCGAGAGAGCAGCTACAACAAGCCTTGTTGTAGCTGCTGCTGGATTATATTTTCTTAGCTTTCCCATACTTAGCACTGCCATCGGTTTTTGTATTCTTTGTTGTTGTAACTTTCTGACCTGCCCCTACTGGACATCCGTGAAAAAGTGCTTCATAGCTCATCGGATTCTTGCTAGTCTAAATAAAGATTCTGATTCTCTGTATTACTGTGTGAAACGCAGAGGTGGACGCTAACAAAAATAAGTTGCTGGCGCCTGACTACAAGTGTCAGAGACAGACTCTAGGAAATGTCTCAGCAAGCCAGGACGAACAATGCCAAGCCCAAAAGAGAACGATCACATATTTACCATTGCAAGATGCCCATGAACTGGAACATAACAAATTATTCCTGCTGAAAAGATCTATAACGCGGCAGATGATACTCCTACTCTACCTTAAAAATATTTTAATTTCATCAGGTAAGGCCCACTGAGCTGTATAACTATTTTCAGAAGCGACCTGGCCATAAATGATAGCTTAACGAAGTGGCTTATCACATGGAAGTGTATAACACCGAAAGACTCTAAACGCATGTTGATTCTAAGTGTGGAGGGAAAAACCAGAGGACCCGGAGAAAAATCCACACGACCACGGGAGAACATGCAAACTCCAAATATACAGGTGTCAGGGTCGGGATCAAACCCACGACCTATTCTATACCGGGTGAGGTAGTTAACATCTCGTCACTGTGGCACCCGTGGATGAGGCAGGAGACCAATACGGGTGCTCTGGTTTCCTCCTACTTGTATGAACACACTGGTCATTAATTGAACGACAAAATCTTAAAATAAAAAAAAACACCAATGCAAGGACCCTCCTGAAAAAGAGTCCTACGACTCAAGCATGGTTCTCCTGCATAAATAAGCAAATTCTTTTTTGAATATACGATTATCATTTTGGTAACTTTATTGTTAATAAAATAAACGGACAGAACTGTAACAGGGAGATAATTGTCAGTCGTTTTACCGCGTCTCTCCCAGGAGCGACAACAAAGCGAGAAGAGAAGAGAGACAAGGACTGCTGCTCATTGTAAAAATTCCCAACTCATAACTCGACCGCTGCCGCCGCCACTACCGCCGCACGTCATTCGCTCGCTCTTGAAGAGAGAGAACAACACAGAGACGCGGCCATGCGGTGAGCCGGTACCAAAGTCCCATTGAAGTTCCGTGGTCCTCTGCATATAAAGGTGTTTTCGGCCAATTAACGAGCGTTCATACGTGGGAGGGAACTTGAACGCCCAGAGAAAACCCCATAAATGTAAGGATGCAACACTTTATCCCGTACAGGTGGAACAGGCGGAGTACCCTTTTTTGCCGTGCCTCCTTCTCCTTTTTTCGTAATAAGACCGGTAAACATGTGGTGTCCCAGTGTTATCGCATGCCATCGTGATTAACTGTGGTGACGATGGTGAATATGACAGCAAAAATCGCAATGATGAAGACTAGGGTAACGACGATGACGGTAATGAAGTTGGTAATTGTAACCGTGATGCCGGATAGCGAATGATCAAAGAGCAATTAAGATGATAGCAGTTTCATGGTGAATCTGTTGACAATGGCGATGAAGATGAAGACAACAGTGACGACGACGATGACAGCAGTGGTGACGATGGAAGTTAGTTGATGACCAGTGGTGGTCATGATGCTAAATGTGGTGATGAAAATTCCCATTGTGACAATGGTAGTGGCGACGATGCTCATAAAGAATCACGACGACCACAGTGAAAGATGATTGTCATGACCCTCAGCCATAATCAATCCACTGCTGGATGAAGGGCTCCCAAAGCTGTAGCCATCTCGCACGCAATGAATGACCGGAATAAGTAGAGCTCAGCCGAGTGGTGCGCTGCTCGTGCTTTAAACATGTATGAGTAAAACACCCTCACGGGCAGCTCACACATTCTTTAAAAACAAAAGTCTTCGACTTATTTTTTTGGTACGTTATATAAGATGGCTCCGTAAAAGAAAAAAAAAACTTTTTTCTCGCGAGGCTCCGCTTCACGGTCTAACACAACTCGACAGGAAGAGACGTTTGAGGATTAAGTTGAAAGAGATCGACTAAGGATTTGAAGAGATAAAGAAAAAAACAGGGGTAACACCAACGGTGCAGTGAAAGAAAAATCAAGTCGAATTTGGCAGCACACGTCACGAGAATGGCTGATGAAACTAACTCTGTTAAAGCGGAAGCCGAGAGAAACTAAAACGAAACTATTTTTATTTTAGCAGATAAAGGCCCACTGAGCTGTGTCACTCTTTTTCAGAAGCGACCTGGCCACAAATGGTAGGTCAATGATGTGGCTTATCACGTGGACATTTATAGCAGCCACATACTCCCAACGCATGTTTGTAGATGTGAATGAAAGAAACGGAGGACCCGGAGAAAGATCCACACGACCACGGGGAGAGAGACATGCACACTCCAAATATACTGGCGTCAGGTTCGGGATCAAACCCAAGACCTCCTGTATGCCCAGTGAGGTGGTTAACATCTCACCACCGTGGCACCCCATGAGAGAGAAGCAGAGACAGACTGCAGAAGAGGTCGTGGGTTTGATCCCGACCCTGACGCCTGGATATTTGTTCTCCCTGTGGTCGCGTGGATTTTTCTCCGGGTCCTCTGGTTTTTCCCTCCACATTTAGAAGCAACATGTGAGTATTTAGGTGTTATAAATTTCTACGTGATAAGGCACTTTGTTGAGCTATCATTTATGGTCAGGTCGCTTCTGAAGATAGTTATACAGGCCTCTGCCCAGCAGTGGGATATTAGAGCTATGTTAACGCACAGAGCGCATCGTGGAATCGTTCACATTGGTTGCCATCCCATGACTCGGCCGAATTAGCATCTGAATTATCATCCAGCCCAGCAGCGAAAGTGGGAATCCGGCCTTTGCCTGGGGCATCTCAGAAACAATTCGCAACACAAACCCACGGGCGCACCCTCCCCACCACCCGCCACCCTCCTCCACGCCACAATAATTACGATTGGTTCACCTAACGACTAAAAATTTCCATAACGGAGATTTTTTCTTCCCCCCCCCCCCCTCCTCGGTTTTTTAATGGCATACAAAAAACACACACAGAGCACACACCTTGATGGTGCGCCAGGCGCTCCGCTAACGGTGGCAGAGCATCAATCAGCTTCCCCAGCAGAGCAATGAAAGGGAGGCTCTGCTTTGGGCCTGCCGGCCCTGTGACCTGCCAAGAAACAATGGAGAACCGGCACTGAATTCGCGAACGGTGGCGCACTTCGGCACTAATGAACGCAATTACCGGTTTTTAATACACTTGTTCAATTATCGCTAGAGAAGCGGGCAAAGAGGCAGGCTTGTAATTTCGAGTGATGGTTAAGACGGGCTAATTTTATGTAGATTGTGCCCCTGTTGCCTTATCAGCATCGTTTTAATCTTGAATGAGGGAGTTGGGGTCGGGGGGAAACATTGTAAAGAATAAAACGGCGGAATTTACCGTGTGTGTGTTTTGAATGCTATCCAGCAGTGGTTGAAAGCGTTAATGTACTAGCTCCAATCTGCCCGTCATTCTATGGCGGAAGAGCATGATAACTCAAGACAAAATTATCCAAAATGAATTCAACTTTAATATAAATTGATCAAATAGATCAAAGAGTTGGCAAAAATCCGAGCAAAGAGGACTATTTTCAAACGTGCAAACACGTTTGCTGCGACAGCTCCCTGCCGGTTTCTCTGTACAACTAATTAAATACTTTTGAGGACAGCGCATGCTCGACGGCATTACATAGGACAATATGCCCCGCATGTGCGTTCTTTTAGTTTAACGATAAAATATAAATTCTTCAAGGACAGAAATAGAGAGCTGTACATTAACACCAAAGTGCGCTCTCCACTGTCGGCAGCTCCCCACACCCGGCGACCCGAGTTTGAATCCCGCTCACGGCCAACACCAGTGACAATTATCTGAACCAGTCCTGGGCCTCCCCTAGGTTAACTCAGCCTAAAATTAGTACCTAGTGTAATGTGGAATCGTCGCCACTTGGGAGACAAAGGTAGCCGGGCATGGTGCTGGCCACCCAGACTCTTATGTGCCGGCCTTAATAGGTGCTACTCGCTCTTGCCGCAACAGGCTATACAGGGGATCTTTGCGCGTGGGTGCGTTGTGAGGCACGGACCTGCTTCTCCACCATCGCCAGCAGCGCCCTCGCCACGTCCTCCGACTTGAGCCGACACGTGAGCTGAGTGAGCACTGACAACGTTCACGTATCACGAGGGTTAATAATTATCGGGCGATTGTTGCTGGCAACCTTCACCGGCGACGGGTGCTGAACCGTTTTGCATTTTGTAAAATGATAAAAATATGGTTGCCCATCCTGGACGAATGCACTTTCGCAGGCAGGTGCTGCATACACCTTGTGCCGCACAGAGACAGGTGACATTGAAGGGGGAGGGGTACGCTTGGCTAGACTACAGCAGGGTACTAGAATGGCCGAGACGAGATGTGACGCAAGGCGGTTTCAGTTTCTGAAGCTTTTACGCAAATACCGCCACGTATGCAAATCATTATCTCTAAGTGTGATTGCTGCTCCCGCTGGTGGGAAACTAGGATGACAATCTCCAATCAGATCATAGGCAGAGGTCACGTGACTACCCATATTTGGTGCATTAGAGACCAATTATCTGTTGATCAAACACACTTTTAAACATATTCATTGGCTAGACAGAGCTGCCTCCACTCTATTGCGGTGTTTCTCAACTCCAGTCACTGCGACACAACCACGTACAGCTTTCACTGATTTCCAAATATCAGGCGCATGCAGTGTGTCAAGGTACGACAAAAAAAAAATGTTAATCACGGAAAGTCAGACGATGGGGAGTCGCGAAGACTGGAATTGTGAAACACTGCTCTGTGGCACCGCCTTAGCAACTTTCTGCAGTTGCTCAAAATACGCCAGTTTCGGGTGACAAATTCTCGCAACGACTGCCACAAAAATACCCCTTAGCGCATCACGGCTTTAGCAGATGACACGAGAAACTGAACCCTCAAGGCCCAGAGAACACCTCAGAGGCTGGGTCTCAGAAGAAATGCCAATCGCCACGTCCCTCTACTTCTCTGGCATCTCCATGTGCCGTGAAGAAGGTCCACTGCCCCCATAACGTCGCCTGCTGTATACTAATTCTCCTTAAATTTCGATTTAAAGCTTTCGTGACTGCAGGGATTCATCTTCTTGGTTATTTCGGTAAAGTCGCGAAGAAGGGAGATAATAAAATAATAAAAATAATAAAATACAATTCTCACGACGTTTCGGCCACAACGCAAGCAGCCGTCCTCAGGTGAAAAACAGGTCTGTCGGAAAGACAGCATCTGAATGCGTTGTGGACGAAACGTCGTGAGAATTGTATTATTTTATTATTATTATTTTATTATCTCCCTTCTACGTGACTTTACCAAAATAACCAAGAAGACTAATTCTCCTTTTACGGCCACAGTGTTATTAACGAATGCATCAAGTCGTTTTTTTTTTTCGTGTGTCATTCGAGCGTCGGTGTCAACGGTGACATTTCCGAAAACCTTCATCATGCAGATTTGTCTCACCGGTCCTGACGACGACATCGGCATTCGCCCCCCCACCCCCTCCCCCCCGCAAATATTGGACAGAATTAGCATTCGGCAACACGCGGATTGGACACTTAAGGTGCTAATGTTCCAACACGCACAGTTCCATTGACAGGACAATGGCAGCAGTACTGTTTGGCCGATGTGTACAGGAAGGTGATTTATGAATGTATCATGAACAAAATGTTAAAACTAGATTTGCAACAATAATGCACAAAGTATGAAACTGCTCAATCGTGCAGCAGCATTGAAGGCACAGACTTTTGAGGCACCAGATGAGTAAAACATACCTGTCAACCCATACGGCTTACCCGTATTCTTGTACAGGGAAATTGAGTTTTCAGGTCCATACGGCATAATGTTTGTCTATTTTTTGTGTTTCTCGCTTGTGATGGGACTTTGTAGGATGAACATTGAGATTTCTAAGGGCACAGGGTGACCAATAAGGTCTGAATTTATCTGTAATAAGGTAGTCACTGATAAGGGATTGACAAATATTGTAAAATATTGAGTGCTTTACTGTACAGGTATCCCTCGATTTACGAATGGGATGCATTCTTCAGAAAAACGCGCGTAAAGCGAAATTTCGTAAGACTTAAAGAACACCAGAGAAATATTAAACTATCACAAACACAACTGTCGGCAGTAGCAGAACATGCATGCCAACAGGGACACTCAATTGATTTTGACAACGTGGAAGTGTTGTGTAAAACTAGTTACTACTGGCAAAGACTAATTAGAGAATCGATTGAAATTGAGAGAAACAGAAATAACTTTAATCGCTCAGACAGCTACAGGCTTAGTGCGGCCTGGAAGCGTATTATTAAATAAGATACATTACAATTACTTATAAGGGAAACAACCACTAACAGATTACTAATGTAGCATAATCACAATAAAACACATTCCAAATGATTACTAATCTACAACTCGCATCGTAACAATAGCCTGATTACTAATCTAGTATATAATTACAATCACTCCCCCCTTGAATCTTTGCACCTGATGAGTTAATGAGTTAATGATGACGTCATCCTGCTGCTGCTCTATATAAGAACGGGAGACACAGGAGAGCCTCACCATTCTGGCGAATTGCCCGATGATGCTGGTTGTAATTACCAGCGAAACGTCGTACTCAAATTGTGAATGTTGTTGCTTCAACACACCGGTGGGCTAAAGCAGTGAACTATTTGTCTTTGTCAACGTGACACATTTTTTACTGATTGGCCGTGTCGGGTGGTGGAGGGTTACGACACATTTATAAATAAACGCGATCTAAACCCAAAAATCGTTGATTATGAATAACATTGGTCGCGAAAGCCTACGTGTTAAACTGACTAACCTCTATGGGGAGGATACTTTTCTTAAAACCAGAAAATTGGAGAAGCTCCGCATTAAGCGGATGAAATTGATATCTTCATTGGCGTTCCTCAAAAGGTGCAGAGATTCGAAGGTAATACCAAACGCAGTTAAAATAACACATCACATAAAGTCTTCTAAGGCTAACAAAATACTACACAAAGCTAGCGAATTATTATTAATAGAGAGAATACAACACAACAGGAGTGAATTATCCAACATTTCTGAATCGCTAAAGCATTTACATTTAAATATAAGCAATAGTGTGTCCATGCATGATTGGAATATAATCGATACTATAACACAACAATCGGCTGATAATGTGTTTAATCTAACAAACGCTAACCAAATTAACAAATTTTCTAGACTTTACAATAAACAAATCCCTATTAAAAACGAACAATTTGAAAACAAAACCGTAATGAACTTGACTAACACTGATTTAACCACTGACATGATTTCTGTCCTTTCTAAAGGCCTTAACTTTGCCGTTACCCCACGCACAATTCCAGTGGATGAGATAATTGCTGAGGTAGAATCAGCAGTAAGACTCCTTCCACATAATGAGGCAGAGATGACTAGACACGAGGTTGCCAAAATTATTGAGAATAGTAAAGTACCTAAAGTAAATATTAGCTCGAACGAGGCAAAAGCCTTAAGAGAGCTTCGTCTAAACAAAGATATTCAAATCCTAGCAGCTGACAAGGGCCGCACTACAGTAGTGATGTCACGAGCCGATTATGATAATAAAATTAAAGATTTATTAGAGGAAAGTACCTACATTAAAATTAAACGAGATCCAACTAATACTTTGGAACGTAAGACTACTGCAATCATTGCAAATTCATTAATCCCAAAAAATGAGCAATTCCTAATGAAGCCAAGGGCTTCAAAACCACCTAGACTGTATGGGCTACCAAAGATCCATAAAGTCGGCATCCCTTTACGACCTATAGTCAGTACAATTGGCTCTGCCACCTATAAATTAGCAAAATATGTAACTAAACAAATTCAGCCTTACATCGGTAGGACATCATCATTCATAAGAAATTCAGAACATCTTGTGAATATGATCAAAGATATTAAACTTAACCCTAATGATATTTTGGTGAGTTTTGATGTGATTTCGCTATTCACTAAGGTTCCAGTGAGCGAGTCGCTTAAATTACTTGATACACTGGTAAAGAATACAGGTTTACCAAAAGATATTCCGAAACTCGCAGACCATTGTTTAAATAACACTTACTTCTTATGGAGAGGCGAATTCTTTAAACAAAGGGAGGGAGCAGCAATGGGCTCTCCTTTATCTCCTGCTATAGCAAATTTGTACATGGAAAACTTTGAAACCAGAGCACTTGCCTCGAGCACATTAAAACCATCCTTTTGGTTTAGATATGTGGATGACACTTTGGTTGTCTGGCCACATGGTAAAGATACACTTAACGATTTTCTAAATCATCTCAATGCACAAAACCCGGCCATTCAGTTCACCATGGAAATGGAGGTGAATAACACACTCCCGTTCCTGGATATTTTACTTGGGCATGGCCCAAACGGTAAAATAACACACAGCGTTTACAGAAAGCCAACGCACACTGATGCCTATCTGAATGCAGATTCGCATCATCACCCAGCTCAGAAATCCTCTCTTATCAAGACGCTCATACATCGGGCTAAAACAGTGTCAGATGGTGAAAGTCTAGTGAGAGAGATTAAACATGTTAAAGAAGCACTAAGACAGAATGGCTACAATAATGCTCAAATTAACAGAGCACTAAAAGCCAAAACACGATCGCAAAGCAACACTGCTGAAAGCGATCAGATTATTAAAACAATAAAAATACCATTTATCTCAGGAGTAACTGATAAATTAGCCCGTGTTTTGCAAAAGCAAAACATTACAGTAAGATTTGGTACAGTACACAAAATTCAACAACTAGTAACGTGCACTAAAGACGAATTACCTAAATTATCAACAGAAGGTGTATATCGGATTAATTGTGTATGTGGCAGATGCTATATTGGACAGACAGGGCGTAACGTTAGTGTAAGACTTAAAGAACACCAGAGAAATATTAAACTATCACAAACACAACTGTCGGCAGTAGCAGAACATGCATGCCAACAGGGACACTCAATTGATTTTGACAACGTGGAAGTGTTGTGTAAAACTAGTTACTACTGGCAAAGACTAATTAGAGAATCGATTGAAATTGAGAGAAACAGAAATAACTTTAATCGCTCAGACAGCTACAGGCTTAGTGCGGCCTGGAAGCGTATTATTAAATAAGATACATTACAATTACTTATAAGGGAAACAACCACTAACAGATTACTAATGTAGCATAATCACAATAAAACACATTCCAAATGATTACTAATCTACAACTCGCATCGTAACAATAGCCTGATTACTAATCTAGTATATAATTACAATCACTCCCCCCTTGAATCTTTGCACCTGATGAGTTAATGAGTTAATGATGACGTCATCCTGCTGCTGCTCTATATAAGAACGGGAGACACAGGAGAGCCTCACCATTCTGGCGAATTGCCCGATGATGCTGGTTGTAATTACCAGCGAAACGTCGTACTCAAATTGTGAATGTTGTTGCTTCAACACACCGGTGGGCTAAAGCAGTGAACTATTTGTCTTTGTCAACGTGACACATTTTTTACTGATTGGCCGTGTCGGGTGGTGGAGGGTTACGACACATTTATAAATAAACGCGATCTAAACCCAAAAATCGTTGATTATGAATAACATTGGTCGCGAAAGCCTACGTGTTAAACTGAATCGGAATGGTGTTTGGGGCTATCCATTTAGTACGTACGCATGGAGGAGGGGGGTTAACCCAATAGCGTACGCTTGCGTATGGGGGGTCTACTGACAATGTATGCATAGAAAACGGGGGGGGGGGGTGGGTGGGGGTGAAGTCTCGATAAAAATGTGTCTACATTGGTCTTCAAATGAGCCACAGTTCAGTTTCTTAAGCTGTCAGACAACAAGTACTACCGGGAGAAGTGGCACTGTGGGAGAGGTGTCACTTGTATTTCACCGTGCCCCTGACTGTAGCTATCACGCAGCGCAGCAAAATAAGTGGCCAAGGTACGCAACTTAATTCTTTAATGCAGCCGGCGGTGAACTGTCTGCTTAAACACGTTAAAATTATTAATCCTTGATCGTTTCTGCGTGGATTCAAAATCGGCCGTTCTATAGGATTCGGGGGAGGGGGTGCGTCAAGCGTACGTACAAAGGTGGGGGGGGGGGTATAAAAAGTACACGTGCGTACAGGGAGGGGGGAAGGGGTCAAGTTTTGACAGATTTTTGCGTACCTACTCAATGGATGGTCCCTTTCCCATTAATTTAATTCTAAAAACGAGAGGGATGTGTTTCGGAGAGTCATTCCAACTCTAATCCTCACCTAAATATGTACACCTATATAACTTCTTACAATACAAAAATAATAATAAAGAACATAAATATTAAAACGATAGAATAATAATGAATTTAAAACGAAAAATTACTTCTCCAGGGAACTCACCAAAAATATCTGCATGCTGGAATTACTGGCAAGGCGATGCGGAGTAGTTACTGTTGCCCTGTAGGGACACGTGACGCTGTCACGGATACATAG